TTTGGAGGGCATGCATAACCCGGCGTAACACAAGAGCCTGGCTGCGGGGAAACGTTGGCGGTGTTCCGAGTTTGTTCTAATCTGTCAAAATGACAGACTGCTTTCAGATTTTTCCGTCATTGTTAAATAAAATATTCGGTTAACGCGACCACTGGTGTCCCAGCAACATCAGTACCAAGCGAGAGAGTTTTTTCCAGAGCAGGGGATATTGTAAATGCCCAAACATCCCAGTTTATAAATACCTGGAAATGTGGACATTCTCATATTCCTAAAAACCTGTCTGATGATGCTGAGTGAGTGACTAGTGAGTTTGAGTTGAGTTACTTGAAAAACTAAAGTGAAACTTGATTTATTGTATTGCAGGGTCTGATTATTAAATGTCCTTGTTTATTTGTGAGATGCAGTGGCATAAAGAAAATGCTTACTTTGTTCGGTAGTACTAGTAGGTACAAAAACACTGGTTTTCTTGTTCCAGTCTGTTACTGTCACTTTGTTTTTGACACTTTAAAACACTGCTATCCTACAAAAATGCTGTAAAAATCAGATTTATTATGTAATAGAAAAACATTTTCCGAGTAAAAAAATGTTTTATTGAAAAATAAATTTATGATTTCTTTTTCTTCTTCCCTTTATTATTCAATATCGCGATAAATACCGTACCGTGGACTTGTTATCGCGATATTATCGTACCGTGAGTTTTTGGTATCGTTACATCCCTAGTAGCCACCAGTAACCGGTATTTCGGTAATACCGGATACCGGTATACATCCCTAGTTTGGGAAGGGATCAACTGTGTGTTTCAACAGTGACAAGAAAACATGACAAGGAAACAATAAACATTGTGAAAGGACAAACACCAAGCAGGTCCAACTTACCAGGGGGTTTCTGAACGTTTGCCAAGCTCTTCTCTTTCCTGTTGGCAACAGAACAGTCTATTGAGCATTTTGTACACTAACAAAGCTGTAAATCAAAACAATAAATATAATAAAAGAGCTGCTCTGAGCAATATTTTAGTAAAGGGTAGTAGACAAACAGTTGTAAGCATGCTAGCTTTTATAGTTCTTTTTTTTCATTCATGCACTGAAAATATGCAATTGGCAAGAAAAACGAGGGTTGAGATTTAACTAAGCTAATGTAACTTTGAACCCTGTCATCCAAATAAAGAGAAGGAAGGGCGGGACACTAAGCCACTTTTTACATTAACAGGTGCTGACCAACTACAATGGAGAATAAGTGTATGCTGCCAGTTTCCAAGTATCAACGTCTGCTGTCAGTTGCAATATTTCACAAGTGGGTGCTGATTTGTGCAAACAGGCCTACTCTTCCTTGTGCCTAGTTTATGGATATTACGTATCAATGAAACCAGACACAACCACAGCATTAATAATACTGTACTTCAAAAGTACTCGCAGTTTTTTGGTTTTCAGCTGGGAAAACAGGCTATGGTGGGAAAAGGGATGGTCCACATGTGCATGTTCACCTGTCAGGCACCAAACACTGTTCTACAGCTGTTCGAGGGGCTGGTTGGTAAGTCGGTTGAGGAGGATGATGAAAAACGGGTTGTCTGTATGGGACAGGGACGTGAGAGCTGAAGCTTCGGCCCAATTGCCTGATGTTTGGGGAGAACACAAGGAGATACTTTGGTTTATTCACTTTGGAAATCACTTAAACATGATGCCTTGAAAAAAACATTATATTCTTCGATGCATGAGATTCAAAGAGTGCTTTTTACAGAAAGCAACCAACACTTTGGGTTTCCAAGAACTGAAATTAAATAGCTGACAAAAATGTAATAATAATGCTGCTTTTTAGTGGCTAGACAATGTATAATCAATGTTGCCCCATAATGCTGTAAATGCGGCCACTGCTCATCATTATTGATTTAATCTGTTATTGTTTACCTGTAGTCTCCTGAGGCGCTGTAGCCTCCGTGGCCTGAAGCGGACCGAGAGCGGTTTGCTATCCAGCTAGAGGGACCACCAACTATGGGTTGGCGGAGACTAGACCGTGGCCTCACTAAATGCATGGACAGGTGGTTAGTTAAGGTTGATAAAAGGAGCAGAGACACAGAGAAAGCTTTGAGGAACTATATCCTCCTGGGACCCGAGGAAAAAATATGTCTTCCAATTTCCTTTTTTTTTATGATTTCCTACCTATTTAGGTTTTTAAAAAAAAACTTTTTTTATTTTATTTTTAAATGTTACAGTATGTCCACTGTAGAGGACGTCAGGACCATATTAGTTTGAAAAGACAGCCAAAATTAACAGATAGACTATGTAACGTATTATGGTTATAGAGTGATATTAATACAATAATACATTCACCTTTATTTAAAACATAAATAAGTAATTGATCTGAACATTGCTGTTTATTTGGTCACTAAAAAACTAGTTTGTTTTTTGGTGAATCTTTCCAGATCTTCAAAGACTTTGTAGTCAATGTAGTGGGAAAAGTACCTCATTGACTCCAGTCGGCACGGGCTGTAGGGTCATCTTGACTAGTTGTATGGATGTGGTCTCCATTTTACCATGCTCATAGAAACAAAGCTTGCATTCCTGAGGCAATTCATATTATTATATATATATTCATATTTGACCAAACCCTCTCCTACAACAGATACATCAAACAGATCACAAAGACAGCCTTCTTCCACCTCAAAAACATCGCCCGTCTACGTCCATCCCTCTCTCCCACTGCTGCCGAAACCCTCATCCACGCCTTCATCACCTCCCGTCTGGACTATTGCAACAGCCTCCTTTACGGTTCACCTGCAAAAATCCTCAACAAACTTCAATATATCCAGAACTCCGCCGCCCGTCTACTCACCCACACCCGAATCCGTGAACACATTACACCCGTCCTCATCAAGCTCCACTGGCTCCCCATCCCCCAGAGAATTCAGTACAAGATCCTCCTGATGACGTACAAAGCCCTCCATAACCTGGCCCCATCCTACCTTGACTGACCTCCTCCACAGACACTCTCCCACTCGCTCCCTCCGCTCTGCCACTGCCAACCTCCTGTCCCTCCCCACTCGGACCAACCTCAAGTCTTGGGGCGACAGAGCCTTCTCCGTTGCTGCACCCATCCTCTGGAACTCNTGACAGTTACAATGAAGGCTCGATAATAAGCTCACGGCATATAGGTGTAAGCAGGGGTAAAGTACTATTTTTATAGGTGGTGTGTGGACCTTAGGGGGGTCCGGGGGCATGCTCCCCCGGGAGGACTTTCTTTTTAAATATTGAAGTTAAAAGCATCAATCTGGTGCACTTTGAGAGCAACATTAAGAGATCTATGGAAACATCTCTCAACACCCATTTGAAACAGAACTGTAAACAGACTTTTTCTTTATGGATATTTTACAAATCACCCTTTTAAACTTTATTCTTTTTTTTACTGTCATATAGTATTTCAAACCTGTTTTTAATTGATTCTCTTGTTTTTTTATAACTATAATAATAATACAAACGTGTGCACACAAAATGGCTCGTTCCACACACACACAGAGCCAAGCTTTAATGAAACACAGAGGCCCAGACGTAATAGTACTGTACTGTATTATTATTTTCGAATCAATAATTTTTCAAATTATGATTTCATTTTTTCTTTATTTTATTTTTTAATAACCATTTTTACTCCTGGTCTCTCGCGCTCTGTCATGCCCCTGCGCCCCCCACTTTGAGAAACACTGCACTAACTCCACATCATCCAACATGACTGTGGAGGTGATGGAGACGCCCTCTGCTTGTGGAGAAATGTTAAGACTGCAGTCACAGTACTGACTCCTGATTGGATGACAGCAGGTCCTGGTTAAAATGACTGAGAATCTTTACAGTTCTTTCTATTATTCACCTTTTTAGTCCTAAAAGAGAATAATGGTACCTGTGTGATACTATTTCTTCCTCAACAATTCTAAGAAAAGCCAAAAGTCAAAAGATTATTTGTGCATTAAATATTTCATTCCGGAGTTAAAAAGATTCTGGCAAAACAATTGAGCAGATTCTTTGAACAGTTGAACATTTCTTTTTTTTGATCAAGGTCTTTTTATTGTTTTTAAGGACACATAAGATACAATGATCAGTACAATACAGTATTACATTCCAAATGACACAACACCCCATCCCCCACCTGCTCCAACAGAGCCCCACCCCTATTTTGGTTTACTCCAACCAACATTTATAGGAAATGTACCTAAATCCCATCAGATAAAAGTTGAGTGATTCACAGCCATGTCTTGTTATGATCCTCTCTGCAGAACAACCAAGATGAACATTTTGATTGCTAAAGAGGAGGGCTGCTGAACTAAGCAGGGGATGATGTCATCGCTCAGGGAACCAATCAGGATCTGATTATGGACTATCCTGTGGATCTGGGAAACAACATTTCCTCAATGTTTGTGTCATTGCAATGACAAATACATGTATTTCAGCATTAAACTCATTTCTGTTCATTTCTTATGAATACATTATACCACAAATAATTATTGATTATGTTTATAGAAGGACAAACACAGATGCTAAAAACTAAAATCAATAAGAGGAAGCTATACATTTGTTCTTTTGTGAGTGTTTTGTAATAGAAGTGAAGTAAAGGAGAGAAATAATGGATTTATATCATCTGACCAAATTCCTTTGTAAAGTGAAAGCGGGAGGTGAATGCTCGGTTGCTTATCTCTGTGAGAGCCACATGTTTACACTCCTTATACTGAGTAACACATAGATCAATACTGGCCAGGTGGGTGTGTGTGTGTGTGTGTGTGTGTGTGTGTGTGTGTGTGTGTGTGTGTGTGTGTGTGTGTGTGTGTGTGTGTGTAAGCATGATAAAGACAAACAGAGAGAGTTTGAGCAGATGCATCGGCAAAAAGCCACACACAAAAATATAATTAAACAAATCGTTGAATTCTGAGGTCAAGGTTCACTGTGTGAGTCACATGCTCGAAACCAGGAAATGAAGAGTTGTGATATGAATCCAGTGACTTCCCTCACCTTTACAGCAGAGCAGGAACAAAGCTTTTTGGATTTCAGTGAACCGACTTATCAAGGATGATAAGAAACCAAGTGGAAGACTTGTAAGTATGCTGACTGCTCTCTGCTACCGCCCTTTACTTTCACTACCAGCTGTTAGCCGGTCATAATGTAACACTGACTTTAGGAGTAACAACCTGATATAACCTGTTTCAAATCAAATAGGGTAACCGTTAACATACACCTGAACTTCATGATGAATGAGAACTCATATTATGAAGTTTGAAAGATCTTGTACTCAGAATATTGTAGCTATTTAACAATGTATACATAATAATTTTCAAAAGGTTCTACATTCAAAAAATGACTTTTGACTAATTTTGACTTTTTGTTTATTGGTTTATTGGTTCCTACTTTTGGATAATTAGCTCATGCTGCAGCTAGCTATTCTGCCAACTATTTAAATTGCTCCAAAGGATCAAGAATATTATTTTCTGTTTCTGCACAGCAACTAGATTAATTACACAAGTGTTATTGAATTAAACGTGTAATATTTGATTTTGAAATCTACTGGAATTATGTGGAATTATGAAGGACCATTAATACGAAGTAGACTCAACTTTATTGGCCAGGTTTGTGTACATGAATTAGGAAATTATTATTTATCTGTGTTGCTCCTTAAGTACGTTCAAAGAAATACATATGAACAATGACCAACACCGCACAAGACAAACTGTTGAGTCAATTGTAAAAATGTTGAAATGTGTCGGTGACATCCCAGAACAGAAGAGTCACCAGAGGTACAATCATTGGTGTAGAGAGGGATGGGTGTAATGCAGAGCACACATGACTGAGGATCACCTCAGGGGTTGATGGTGTCTTGTAGTTGTAATGTCCTTTAGGCCTTTCCACACCTACGTAGGTTCATTAGCTAAATACATCAAAAAGATCCTGTCATCCTGTTTCCAACACTTGAGTTATTTATTTCTGTTTGGTTTCATTTTGTTTCCCTCTACTCCATCTTGCTACACTCGGTTTGTGCTGTCACTGTTTCTCCAGGCTCTCCACAGTGCAGGATTGTCAAAATGGAATCTCTATGGAGATCTTCCTGCATCTTTCACTCATACCAGCAGTAAGTTGTCAATCTATTTAGCCCCAAATATCAATAATTTTGCTTTATTTCTCCAGAGAGGGTACTAATTCACTTTCCATAACTTAATACCAATCCAATGATTTATTTTGTCTTTTTTTTTGGGTGGCCGTCTTGTGAGAAACATGTAACCATGAAAAATCATATATCACAAATATGGAGATACATGATTTCACGGGATGAGAACAGAGATCTTGTAGTACATAGCAATGCCATATGCATTTTGCTTTTACAATTAAAGAGTTGGCCTTGTTATGCGCTCGCCATAAACAAATGGAGAATTTCTAGGAAACCAGAATGACCAAATTAAATCGTGAAATCTTTAGTACCATTACTACATCCAATGAATAAGCAGATTCTAAAGCATATTGTTCAAAACCAAAGTTTATAATGTATTGATTTCTTGTCTTCTAGGTGTTGATTGCAGGGGTGCTGTCATTCCTCCAGAAGAGGGCCCACAGACTGGCCATCGATCACAGACTGCCCTTTCTGGGGGGACGTTTTGCTATTGTGGTGTAAGTCAACAACAACAGTAACAACAACTATGAAAATAAGTTAGAAGCAATGTTTCAATATCACAACTAAAGTATTTAACATATAGCACCATGGATGCTATCGGCAACAGAGTTATTTAACATGTACCCATATTTTGTAGACATTAAATATTAGCCAAATCAGCAATATTAATTTGTGTTTCTGTCACTATTGTGTCCTAGGCCTTTGGATACTATAGGAAGCCTGAGCAATCGCTGGTCCTATGGGTCTGCATTTGGTGCCGTGTCCTCGAGCGTCATGCTACTCTTCTCTGACAGTTACATCCCCTTCAGTGTGCCTTCCTGGGCCCGAGGTACTCCCACTGTTTGATATTTTTATCCAGGCTTAATTTTTAAACGTATTTACTTTGCTAGTAAAGGAAATAAAGATAGTTTCTTGGTGACCTCAGAAAACTATTGGAAGAGTTGCTGCCCAGCAGTCTATACCATTCAAGTACAATGCCTAACCTTACCCTTCCTAAATCTTCACAGCTTTGAGGTAACCATCTAGACACAACTTTAAAAAATGACTGATTGATGTGATGTTTTCTGATTCTTCTCCTCAGCTATAGTGTATCTGGTTGGAGCTTTAGAGGTGGGCCTGGTCTATTTTCCTTTCTTTGCCTGTCTATCCACACCCTTCAGAACAACTGGTGCAGTGCTGGGAATACTCTACTCTCTGTCCTGGTAAATGTCTAGATGTCTCAAAATGTGGATTAGTACAGCAAAGGGTTTCTTTCACTGGTGTGTTTTTAATTTTACTCAACATTGTAAAAGCATCCAGCAAGTTGGCCTGTTAGACAAGTGAATGATGTCATAAGCATGTAATCATGTTTTGATGCTTGGTTTTTAGGATAATGGTCACACTCTGGGATACATTCACCTGTCCAGATGGAATGGTAAGTGAGTACTACATCCATAATAAAAGCTATGTTGCAGTCTGGCTTTCACCAAGGATCCAGTCCCTTCCCAAATCTAAAGAAATACGGCTGTACAAAACAATGTTTCCTGTTTGTTTGTTGAAATAACTCACTTTTTGTGTGTGGTTTTAAAGATTTTGGGTAAATACCAGAAGTTAATTATCCAGTTGCCCTGCATCCTTTCCCTCATCTTCCTCTTGGGACGATTTGTCTACATACTAGTAAAAGCAGTTCGTATACACCTGCAAGTGGAACAGGTCAGTATCCCTCATGAATAAAACCTTTGATGTTATTTTTGCTGTCTATTTCCACAAGCTAATACCTAGTAATCTACAGTTTATGTGATTTCATTGTCACATTTATTAAAACAATGGTATATAATTTTATTCTATGCTGTATTTTATTCTCCTTCACAGTTAGGTCTGCAGTGATTATCAGTTTTTTACTGAACATTATGTATAACAAACGCTGTGTGACATACTCTGAATCTGTTGCCAGGACACTGAGGAGCTGACTGAGCAACACCAGGTGCAGCATGTTAAAAGACTGCTGTGCAAAACACCTGTTCACAGGTAGAACACACATCCACGCACACCTGCACTGGTGCTGCTTTCAAGCGGACCGTGAACAAATGGGATTGACTACTTCTGCTGTTTGAACCAGTTTACCAAAAAAAAAAACAGAGATCTCGGAAATGTCAACCGTTTTCAAAAACACTTTCTTTTGCACATTTTTTAAAATGTCAGCTTCTCACTATTCAACATTTCAATAACATATTAGTCTCTATTTTGCAGTAAGCCTCTCAGCTGGTTCCAGAGAAGAGTGTATGAGTGGGACCCTTACTTCAAGTTCCCAAACAGGATCATCGGCACCGTCATTATATCTCTTATAGGCCTATACATGGTACAGCAGGACAGCTCTCATGTTTAATTATGGAAAAGAACTTCCCTCATCTACAAACTTTGTTATGGAAACACAAAGCACCTCATCTGTGCATCCACTTCATTTTTCTCTAGATGACCCTGGCAGACTACAGTGTCAGTGAGTTGGCTTTCGACCAAGTTGGCAGGTGGAAGGATACACTTAAACACCTGGTTATTTCTTGTAATGACACCGAAGCTCTAGGATTCATGATAACACAGCTGGAAGAGTTCATTGACGTGTCTAGGAGTGAGTTATTTAACTGTTATTAATGCAATATATGGGTTCATTTACACTAAATATGCATTGCTTCCTTACTTCTTCATAGTTCTGGTTTAAGAAAAGGCAAAACAAACAGCTCCACATTGATACACTGTGGCCTGATCAATTAAACAGAGTAAAGTTGTTGTTATTTCTTTACTTCCAGAGGCTTGGTTGGCCACCAACATCTTTGCTAGTCTCAACTCTGTAGCCTACTGCCTCCATGTCTTGGCATGTTACAGGTAAGAGACCTAAAAAAAACTAAACTTGAAAATGTATTTTATGTTATGATAAACAATAATTGACATGATTCATCGTAGGAAACACTTGAAGAGGCTGTGGAAAGGGCAGAAGGGTTTTCTTCCTGAAAAGTTTCACAACCCTAGCTCTGCTGTCAGCGTCGTAAGTAACACACACAAGTTTGACATTGGCTGTTAATCTGTTTCAGGTCACAATGTGAATGTCAAAGTGTGCTATCGACACATTTTTCTGTTTCAATTTGTTTACAGGCTTCCATTGCAAGATACTCTGGTTGGCAAATAGCATTTACACTGTGGGGTAACTTTTTCACCTCATCACTAAATGCTTTCAAAACAAAAAAAAACAACAGCAATTACATAGGCTATTTTGATGTACGACTGAACCCAAAATGAAAACCTACATCCCAGCAAAGCCTTAGACAACCAAGAAACCTGATGAAACAACAGCAGCGTGTAACAATAACACAGTCCTTCTTTATGAGCTTAATAACATAAACATGTGTGTGAAGAGATTATGTGAAATATTTGAATGTCTCATTCGTATTTTCTCTCCAGGCTACGTGATAGTCCATTTTGTCCACTTCCTGTTTGCTCTGCTTTTGGTCTATGGGCTGATTCTTCCTGTAATGCACGGAAGAGCACTGAGCATGCTCCACAACCTGGGAATTATAGTGTAAGGCATGTTTTCCCTGTGGTTGTGGATATGTGATGGCTTTTGAATGGACACATTGGTTGATTGATTTTTCGTGTGTCCTTCAGTCTGACCATGAGTCTGGTCATCTCCCTGGTCATTCTCCAGGTAGTTCTGGTTCAGATCTTCTTCCTTCAGGACAAAATGTCTCCAACTGATAAACAAAAACCTCTAGCTATCAATAACAGGTGAGTATATTTTAATATAAGAACATCAAGTTTTTTATTTGCCAGAAAACCCTGACTGTTAGAAATGAGCATTTATGGACTTATATTTTTGGCATACTTCAAAATTAAATCTGTAGCTTGAAGTTCCAGTTTCTCTACCCCCTCTTCAGAAAGGCGTTCCATTGCTTCAACTACTTCTTCTTTTTCTACAACGTGGTGATGGGGATCGGTAACTGCATTATGAGGCTGCTGTGCAGCATTGTGGTGGGAACATGGCTGGTGTCCCGCATAGACCGAACCATTATGCAGAGAGGATATGAAACCATGGATCCCGGTAAGCTTAAGTTCAACAGAGACGTGTGTGAGACAAAAGTACAATATTAGTTTAAGTTTATTTTTTTACAATAAAACATTACAGCTAAAGTTCTATTTGTTTATACACTATGGTAGGTGAGAACCGCAGCTGTAACTCTATCATTACTTGGGGGTGGGGTTTATTTATTTCAGTAGATGGTAGAATTTCACAAAGCATATATTGTTTATCTCTCATTATGGTGTGTAGAGATGACAGTATTTCTTGCATGTTTCAGGCTATGCTACTTGGATTGGGATGATCTTTGCTGACCACTATCATAACAATCCAGTCATGGTGTGTTTCTGCCAGCTGCTGGTCTCCAACACATGGGAGAGACACACTGCGTCTGCATACTCCACATTCAGCAACGTGCAATCAGGTCAGTAGTGTGAGCGTGTAGTTCTTGTATAAACAAGTATCTTATACAGTATATAAACCACTGTCTCCATCTGTCTGCAAACTATGCAACAAGTGACTAAACTATGTTCTTCAAATTACCTTTAAAATTCACTGTTTCTGTGTGCACATATTCACATGTTTTAGCAATATTAATCTTTTTCCATTTTGTTTCATCATTACTTAATTTCCTTCTTCTTTCCAGTTCATTAACTTTTCATAATTTTTTTCTAGAATCCCTTGTGAACAGCCGGGCCAGGAGGCGTTGGATAGTGTTTTATACATTACTTAGGAACCCTCATTTAATTCTGCTAAGAAAACACCACCTCTGCTCATCTTCATCAGTACACACATCATCATCTCCACACTCAGACATGGTGCAGGCTTGCGTCATGGCTTCTCAATCAAAGAGCTGCCAAGCAGAGTCACAGTCACCACCAGTGGTCACACCAACAGAGGACTGATGAAGGAACAATTCTATAGATTAGTATCGTATTTAAAAAATACACGTGTATCAGTCAAGCAATGTTGTTTATATCATTTTAAATTAAGATTTTAAAGAAGGTTTAATGGGTCCACAAGTTGTAGAAGTAATTCTGTGGTGTTTTCAAATGGTCATTTTCAAAAGCTTCCGTTTAGAAAGCGTGTTCATTTTGTTAATATTACTAAATTAGATGAGGTCTTCATTCTTAAGGATTTACTCATGTTGGATCTATCAAAAACCTATAGCAGATTGAGTGTTTTTAAGTGAAGCTCAGCTTTGAACTGCTGTACAGTATTTCTGTCTAATATTTGTGTTAATATCCTAATAACGTACACTATATTTATATTATAATATAATATTACCAAGTGTCATTTAATTAAATGGTTTAAAATGTTTTTGCATAGCCTCTGTAGGCTATTGTATACTGATTCTGTAGTTGTAAATATTTGGTTACTGTACAAACAAAAGTTTTGAGTTGGAAATAAAAGACTAATTGTGAACCATGCATGTTGATGATGATTAAAGTACTTTAATTTATGTTTAGAAACATTCAGGTTGCTACCTTTATTGTTGAATTCACTGTCCTAACATTGAATCCTAAGATTTCCCACGGTACTTAAAAGCAGCATACTTTCTACATTTAGCTAACGTTTTACAAAACGACCGTTTTGTGCAAGATTGCCTTGTTGATCACCTAAAATGCAAAGTATTTAACTACCTAAATGTTCATAAGATTAGTGGTAGGAAAACATTATCCGTTGGGTCGCGTGCTTCAACGGAGACCCTTCGCATTTACTTTCCGGCAGTAACCATTTGAGACTGTGGGCGTTAACGTCTCGTGATCTCGTGAACGACTGCACGTGATTTTGAACTCGGCAGCACAGGAGAGACCACGTCAGTTCGGCTAACAATTTAAAACTAAAGGTAAATCCATAGAAACACAATGGAGACATCTTTGTCCGTCACAAAACATGGGCTAACGTCATTGCACATTGGAAATAATTATGTCTGGAATGTAACGGGTCAGTTGTGGGCCGAAATAACACAGTTTATTTTACCGCTAGCTGCTAACGAACAGCTAGCCATTAGCCTCTGTTCAACACCTAGGCCATGATCCAACCACTAAGCGGCGGACAACCGGCTAACCACGTTGGCTAAGCTAACAACCACATTGGAAGACGAGAGAGTCGAACACAATCCGTAATTTACGCAGCAGCTATGTCGTTTAAATCAGCTTTATTTGAACAGACTCTAGGTAAACAATTTTTTAAAGACATACAACACTTACTATAATATACACATTTATGATTTACGGTATATAAAAGATCAGAGCAATGTAATGTTAACGGTCTGCCTGTGGCCTACTACTTCCACGCGTCCCCCACCTGTCGCTTTGCAAAGGTGGAAGTACTCCAATACATTATTGTCAAAAATACGTAAAAACAAGTTAAGGTCCTGCGTTCAAAAGTACAAGAATATTCTCAGCAAAATGTAACTTAAAGTATAACACGTAAAAGTTATCAATGTGCAGAAAAATTGCCTTTTAGTGTTTAAATGTGTTTATACATGTGACATTTCTAGATTATATTGTTGCATCAAATAGCATTTTATTGTATTAGACAAAGTTCTGATTTACTTTTTGTTACTTGTGTTAAAGAGATGGTCCCCTGACGACTAGTTTAATTTGTAAAGATGTATTTTGTTGAGAGTAGCTAAAGCTGAGTAACTGTACTTGGTTACTTCCCACCTCTGCCATTAGGGAAACTATATTCCGGTTTAATGTTTATTTTGTTTATTTTTCAGTGTGAATCTATCAGGATGTCAGACAGCGAGTCCATTAAGAAAATGTTGCGGTCTGTACTTCAGTCCAGCAAACACGGGGTGTCTTTTAGCACCCTGCAGGTAGAGTACCGGTCACTGTGCGGAGAGAGCATCCCGCTGAGGAAGCTGGGCTACTCCAAACTGGAAGACTACCTCACGAGCATCCCCTCGGTCGTCCGCATGGATTACCACATGGGAGAGGTGAGGACATTGTTACTAGGGCTGTCCCGAATACCATTTTTCGGGCTCCGGATATCCGGTAGCAATCAGCGAATATTCTGTCACGTCATGGAAACAACGTGACGGAGATTAACGGAGAAAAAGTTATATCTACATATAAAGACGGAGAAAGTAAACGTTAACGTTTATGGTTAAGTGTTAGAACCCCCCTAACAGGCACAAGCTCTTATGTTGATATTGGAGTTTTCAATAAATTCTATTTGGCAGCCGCAGTGCGGAAAAAAACAAATATCCGTATAACGAAATTGAAACCCAAATAGTAGTCCAACGAACGAATATTTGGGTACAGCCCTACCTGGTGTTTAATTTGCATCCTTAAACAGTGTCTCAGTCGGCTAGCATCAACACAGAACTGAAAAAAACTGCGGCAAAAGTTCACTTTTACAAAGCACATTGTGAATAATAAGACTTCAACACATGTGCTCTTTAGGTGAAATGCTTTGCTGCAGTGTGTGGAGAGACGGCCCACATTGCTGAGCTGGTGGCCAAGCAGAAGAACGCCAAGAGGGCTGGCCGCTCCCAATTCGTCAACTGCAAGATGAGATTCAAACCGTCCAACTCGTACATGCTCAACGGTAAGAGATGCTTGTTGCTTGTCTCTTATGTCAGACCTCTTATATCGGCAGTAAGAGTTTTTTTTTATCAAGACAAGGGATGAGAGTTGCAAACATTAACCTCGTAAATCATTATTTGTGATTCCATATTACATGTTACTTGTTAGACGCTTTTATCCAAAGAGACTTACATACTCAATACTGTGGGCAATCCCCACAGGAGCAATTTGGGGTGAAGTGTCTTGCCCAGGGACATGCCCATATCCTCGTGGGACCCAGCCGGTGGAAAATGTCCTCTGTAGTGGACATTTTGTTAACACGCATCTCCTTTGACTCTTTTGAGCTACTCTATCAATCCCTGATGTACTGTACAGAGGACATCCTAGTCTTTGCAGTGATATGTCATTGGTTCAAATTGCATGCTGGGAAGTTCCTCTTTCTTTTCATCCAAAATGGCTGGCATACCAAAAACAACATGTTATAGAAGCAGGAAGAGAAGTCAAATATTGTTGAATAATTGTAATTTTTACCATTAAAATCATATATGTTCTTGTTTATAAACATGTGAGGAACTATATAAATTCGTTCTGAAAGTAATTAAATAATTCAAGTTTTGAAATAACAGCTCTTTTATAAATGTCCATTCTAGTGGACGTCAGGACTGTCTTCATGGACTTTATGACTCAATATTGTTGCAGGAGACGGAACTGAAGCAGAAATTTTCTGCACCAGATAGTTCAGGGAGATTCAGATGTTGAGCTCTCAGATGATGAGAGAGATGAGGATTTCACACCTGGGATAGAAGAGGGTCAAGAGGAAGGGGGGAAAGATACAGGAGGCTCCATGAGCGCACAGACAGAGAGACAGATAGGGACGAGCTGGAAACACATGGCCCTCTGTGGGCCAAGAGTAGCACAAATGTCTTATTGTTGTTTTTATTTTAAGTGGAGCCATGAAAAATGAGATTTGCCTCAGGAATGCCAGCTTTGTTTCTATGAGCTTTGTCAAATGGAGACCACATCCATACAACTAGTCAATATGACCCACAGCCCGTGCCGACTGGAGTCAATGAGGTACTTTCCCACTACATTGACTACAACGTCTTTGAAGATCTGGAAAGATTCACCAAAAACCAAACTAGTTTTTTAGTTACCAAATAAACAGCAATGTTCAGATGAATTACTTATTCATGTTTTAAATAAAGGTGAATGTATTATTGTATTAATATCACTCTATAACAATAATACGTTACATAGTCTATCTGTTAATTTTGGCTGTCTTTTCAAACTAATATGGTCCCGACGTCCTCTACAGTGGACATACTGTAACATTTAAAAATTAAATTGAATTAAAAAAGTCTAAAATGGAAGACACTTTTTTTCCTGAGGAGGAGGAGGAGGAGGAGGAGGAGGGACGTGGCCAGATGAGGGGCCGGGCTGCTCCTCATCTGGAGGAGGCAGACCCACGCCTGAAGGTCCCGGCACTGTGCCGGGATGTTGTACTTGAAGGGCTGCCCTTGTCCCACCTGTACAAAGGACAGCCCTTTCTCTGGCGGGAGAGGCTGGACAGCCACAGCTGCTGCAGGGAACACGCCAGTTCTTTTCGGCACTACGTTGTGGATCACTGACAGATTCTTGTCTATTTTTCAGTGAGTTTGAGCCTGAGGCAGGTTCTCTGGTCTCCTTCCAATCAGCACTGTGTTCAGCGTCAGGGTCAGAAGAGTCATCAGTGTCTTCAGAAGAGTCTCCAGTGTGGTCCTCAGTCTTTGGTTGTAAACTGCTCTCTGGATCTGAGTTCCTGGCTGGTTCTGGTCCTCGACAGTCCTCTCCATCAGCTTCTGTTTCCATTTGATCAGTTTGTCTTTGATGAGGCTGTGAGGACTGAGGTTTCTATTTCTCATCTTCACTCTTCACAGGGTCAGGAGTGAAAGTGGACTTGGTGATATCAGCCTCCTCCAGCTCCTGAAGCTGCTCTCCCTCCTGATTGATCCTGAGTTCCCCCTGTTCCTGCTTAATGTGTGGGGGGGGCTCTGGGTCCTCCTGGTCCAGACTGGTGCTCCACTCCTGCTGGTCAGGGAGAGGCTCTTCTTTAACCACCACCAGCTGCTGGACATCTGCAGGAAACAGGAAACACACTGTTATATCAGTCTTGGACCTAGTCAATATAATTAGGTATGTTATTGAATTACAGTTTCCAGAGAAGAGAGGCCCATCGTCTCTTCCGCAATTCACACCACAGTACATGTGCATGGATTTATGAAAACGGAGAGCCGTATCACATTGTTGACGCATGAGCAACCCCGTTAAATGCGCTAACCAACGACAACTTCGTTCCACTACATAGGTTAAATAATAAATACTTCACTACACGTTTGCTTATTAACTAATTAGAGTTGGGTATAGCACACATGTACATTACCATCTTATACTACTAGCGACGTACGCAGATAGAGCAGTAGAGCCCCCCGTGTGGACACAATATGTCAATTTACCACTCGGTAATCTAACGTCGCTTTGTAGAGCCACTTCAGCTCTTGTCTTCTTTGGGGTTCTCTCAACTCGTTTTCGCAGTAGTTGTGTTTACCCTTCGGTACGAACGCGTCTTGGTACTTTATGTAGGATGTCTCTTAGTGTCGAAACATGGATGTATCTTATTTGGTATATACTTTGTGTAAAGGATCAAGTATCAAAACTACAGAAGTCATAATTTTACGCATCCTTGCTTTCTCATACTATTGTACTTAATTTTGTCTAGTGTTTGGCTATAACTCTCTTATCTTCTTCCACAGGTTTGGAGTCTAGTCCATGAGCATATGGTAAATTTTTTATCGTGTGTATTATAAATTATATATCGTCCAGGAGTGATATATAGGTTAAAATCAGTTCAAGTATACCCCTTAATAACACAGAGTGTAACTCATCAAGTTTGTGTTGACACACATTCTTAAGCGTCCTAGAAATTACAACTTACACACGCAAAACTCAACTACACTATTGGCAACTGGCAATTCGGTACGACCTCCCCGATACCCCAAGTGTTGCTCTGCCTCAACCGGGACCTCCTCCAGTGGCCGGTGTCTCGTCATTACTATACGTCCTTGCCGTTGTCGACCCTGCACAAAGCCTTCTAACGCAAGTTAACGCTCTCCCGTTGTCGGTCTCGTACAATGAGAGGTATACTCACTAGCCCTGCCGTGAGCTAATCACTGTAGATCAACACAACACCAAATACTCAACCGACCAAACGATATAAAAAGCAACGACATTACTTAATTTCAAAACCTCGAATTTTGTTGGGCTGATTCGGATCCAAAGCTTGGCCTGTTATCTTGGAACAGTGTTTTTATTAGTTCTACAGTATTTACTTTGTGACTGTCCTTGTAAAGTGACGTGGTAGTAATGATCCTGTATTCGGTCTACGGCATTTTCCAAGACTATTATGAAATTTGAAAAACTGAATTTATTCCTACTTATCCGACACGTTAATTGCATAAAATTGGAGAGATATCACTAAAACGACGTTGCTAATCTTTGTTGCAGTAGCTTTTTCTTAGCTAAATAACCGACGTAAGGGAAAGCGTACTCGAGAGTTCACAGAACGCTATATGTAGGACGGTTCAAGGGGTCTTCCTTTCTTATTTTGCCTCTCTTAGTATTTTGTGTCTATATCAAATATAATTACTAATAAAACAACTGTTGTTAGTTATTATTACTCCCTTTATATGGAACGTGTGTTCGTCAGTTATACACTTACAGTTGCTCATTTCAGAAAGTGTTGTTATATATCGTCCGACATTCCTTGCGCGTGTGTTAAACGCGGATTATAACGGTTATTGGTTGTGTGGGTGTATCAAGGTCTACACTTTCTCAGTAATAGAGCACTGGAGAAATCCACATTAAGTATGGGACAGTCCTATATTCCTGCGAGTGATTGTTCTGGATTGACATAAAAGGGACTCCTCACCGGAAAACGTGAAGGCGAGNTACACAGTGTGACAGTTACAATGAAGGCTCGATAATAAGCTCACGGCATATAGGTGTAAGCTGCGGTAAAGTGCTATTTTTATAGGTGGTGTGTAGGTCCACACACCACCTATAAAAATAGCACTTTACCGCAGCTTACACCTATATGCCGTGAGCTTATTATCGAGCCTTCATTGTAACTGTCACACTGTGTATTTGGGTGGGGATTGTTGGAGTGAAAATTCCACATTAATGGGAAACCTTAAATGTTTGAGCACCCTCTATGAAACGTTAAGCTACCCCACCAACACACTCTCACTCCATAATCGTCCAGGAGCGAAGTTTGGTCAGGGTCCCGTGGCGTGCAGTTGTGACGCTCCTAGGCTCCTTCAGCTTCATAAAGGGACGCAAATAGCTTTCAACTGATAGCAATGTATTCCCATCTGCGGCGAGATTTGACGCTCATGGAAGCACGGCATTTGTTTGTGTCAGCTGCCCTTAAAGGCAATGTGAGCGTCCATTCCCATTGGATAACGGATAATAGTACACTCTGAAGTAAGTATTCCCCTTACTGTCGATTGATTTTACAGTGATATCTGCACTACTCATCGACTAAAAAACACCAGATTATCCTTTAAATTGTGTGCAATGCTTTTGTATTTTTCCCCTTCGATTCGGAGAAACAAATATTTTTTCGGAGTAAAGGATGGCAGAAGACACTACACTACCCAGAATCCCCAGCTATCGTTTAGGACTACACCATGTGCTCTGTTTGACAAACCCCGTGATTAGTTCTCAAGCTCTGTGATTGGTTGACCTCCAACTGCATTCCATATGAAAAAAAAAACGTTTCGTAAAAGATAAAATCATACTTTATTCAGCAGTGCTTGCTTTACTCTTTGAAAGTCATCACATGAATGCATTGTAATAAATGGTTCGACTGCATTAAATATATTACACATCTGTCGTAGTTCTTTATTTTTATTTATCTACAGAGATCGGGCTCAGAATAGACCGGAAACTATTCTTTTACCGTTCAGTTTGNGAGACGTAGTTGATCAGCTACCTCATTCCTGGTCCGTCTACTTCACCGAATGCTTCTCTATTTGTCGTCCCGTGTTCAAAATAAATCGCCGCATCACATTTCGGCTCGCGCAGGGAGGGGAGGTAAGCTGGCTCGCGTTCTGTGCTGCACACTTGCACTCGACATTAGGATTTTTCTCATATTTCCGATGAAGCCACACTTTTATTCAAAACAAAGCTGCCTAACTGGAGTGCAGCTAGGGTTTCAAGGATGGTTTCAGTGTGCAGCTGCCACCCATGCCACTCCCGTAGATCGGCCCCTGATCGACTTATTCTTATGGATTGACCCTAGCAACCACCTTGGTAACAATGAAAACGTTGTATGGACACAATTTCCTGAAGTAATCTTCGTAATAACTAGCAAACTAAAGATCATGTACATCCACTGCACACATAATCTGAAATAACAACTAATATTTCTCGCATCAAATGACATCAAAACGCATTTTTAATGGCCAAACTAACTTTAAAATAGGCATTTTCCACCGAGAATAAAACGAAGTTCGGCCATGTTTTTTTTTTCTGCAGAGAGAAATTGTAAGATCAAGTGACAGACGCCAGCCATTGGAATGAATGGAATGCAGTTGGAGGTCAACCAATCACAGAGCTTGAGAACTAATCACGGGGCTTTTCAAACAGAGCACATGGTGTAGTCCTAAACGATAGCTGGGGATTCTGGGTAGTGTAGTGTCTTCTGCCATTCTTTACTCCGAAAAAATATTTGTTTCTCCGAATCGAAAGGGAAAAATACAAAAGCATTGCACACAATTTAAACCAATCAATGTTGTGTAATTAACAAGGATAATCTGGTGTTTTTTAGTCGATGAGTAGTGCAGATATCACTGTAAAATCAATTGACAGTAAGGGGAATACTTACTTCCGGGTGTACAATTCTCCGTTATCCAATGGGAATGGACGCTCACATTGCCTTTAAGCAGCTGACACAAACAAATGCCGTGCTTCCATGAGCGTCAAATCCCGCCGCAGATGGGAATACATTGCAATCAGTTGAAAGCTATTTGCGTCCCTTTATGAAGCTGAAGGAGCCTAGGAGCGTCACAACTGCACGCCACGGGACCCTGACCAAACTTCGCTCCTGGACGATTATGGAGTGAGAGTGTGTTGCAACCCCACAGCACCCCTAAAAGAAAATCCCTGGCGCCGCACTGAGCCTGCAACCCCGTTTTGAAGAAATGTGCAGTGCAAAACAGGCTCATTGCAGCCACCTTTGATAAGACACACTTTTTTCTTTTTTTTGCAAAGATTGCAAAGTGGCAAAGTATTATAACATATTGTTCTAGTAAAGGGATTGCACAATTGCATTATGACTTTTTTTGACCACACAGACGTAGCATTGTTTTATTATCACTGTTCTAGCAAAGTGATTTTTTTTAAAGGAATGCTCACGTTCATATTAACGGAAATTTAAATAAATGTTAACTTGGCCCATTTGTGTTGGGGGGGCATGACTTTTTTTTATCAAACTTTTTCTGTCAGGCCTGACAGGAAAAGTTTGAGAACCACTGAGTGTGAAGGCTCTGAGAGTGGAGCAGCTGTGTGTGTGTGTGTGTGTGTGTGTGTGTGTGTGTGTGTGTGTGTGTGTGTGTGTGTGTGTGTGTGTGTGTGTGTGTGTGTGTGTGTGTGTGTGTGTGTGTGTGTGTGTGTGTGTGTGTGTGTGTGTGTACTCACTGCCTCTGGGCACACAGGGTACACTCGTTGGCATAAGTGTTCCCGTCGCTGCCGCACACAGGAGCCAGGTTCAGGGGGCATGCCATGATCTCCTCCGTGTCAGGACAGGAGGGCTGGCGGGAAGAAAAACACAGGATCTGGGGTGACTTACTGCAGAGAAAACTTGACCTTCACGTGTTAAAACATGTTTTGTCACTTAATGTATCTATTTTCATTTAGACGTTATGTTTTATTAATGTATTCTTATTATATATTGTATAGTGTTTAATGGTAAAGTGATGCTTTGTTTATATTCCTTTAACAATCTAATAAATCATTTTTGCACTGCATTCTCTTCTTTTATTTGTCTTGTCTATGTCTGTCTGTTCATATATGATAATGTTTCTTGAACATTGAATAAATAAAGTGTGAACATGCACATTTTTAACTCCATTATTATTATTATTATTTTATCTGATACATATTTTTATTTATAATCTAATAAAAAACTTATGAAAAACTAAGTCCATTACTCTTTTATCTTGCGCATGTTTGAATATTGACACAGTTATGTTTCCTTTGCACACACACACACACACACACACACACACACACACACACACACACACACACACACACACACACACACACACACTACTTCACCTTTCTCAGGAGTCCATAGTCCTCCTCAGCATCTGTAAAGACGGAAATAATTGACTGCATTTGTGATAAATACCTACGCAAGAGCAAGTTCATAAACAACTCACAAAGCATCAAAAAGATCAATAGCATGTAGAATGACACCAATAGACTAGAAATTACATGAATTTATTTTGGAATGAAGAAAGTGTAGTATTCTACCTGTGAAGAATTGTAACATAGCTAATGTTAATGATATTACAGTATAGAGTAGAGTATATTCTTGGGTAACTATTTAAGTGGCTATAAACAGCAAAGTATTTTTTATTTTATATTTCTCTCCTTTTTACTTAAATATCTGTTTTCTCTTTGACAACATAATGTCGTTTTTGTATCTGTTCAATGTAAAAAAAAGCTACTTTAATTCATATATATTAATTAATATTAATACTTTACTTTAAGCTTTTAATCCTTTTATTTTTCATTCTTTGCCATCCAAACCAAAATCCCTCTGTGAGGACACAAAGATTCATCTAGAACATCCTTCAAATGCAAATAATACCTCAAATAAAGTGTTTTTCTCTGTTACCTGCAGCCACGCAGATGAGCAGGAGTCCCAGAAAAACAAGTCTTCCAATCATGATGCTGGTCGATGAATAACTAAGAGTGACAGAAACTTCTGAACCTGTCGCTATTTTACTGGCAGCATAATTGTGTGTGGGAACACAGCAGGTGAAAGTACACACACAAACACATGCACACTCTAGAAACATACAGTGACACACACACACACACACACACACACACACACACACACACACACACACACACAAGCATAAAGTAAACCTTCCTTTTGTTCAGTCATTAGCTACAAACTTCCATGACAACAAGCTTTTTGTGGGAGCGCACACAGATCAGACAAACAAAATGCAAAACAATCAGGATTTTTTTCAAAATGTATGAATTTTTTATTTCACAATGTAAAGAGTAACTATACACAATGTGTAACAGACTCAAACAGCTGTTTAATACTTAAAAATGTAAACAAATAATAATATTGAGCACGAGAAGAGAAAAATCACCACTGTAGTTTTGTCCTGCTTGTCTCTACTCTGCGTTTCGCTGTTCCACTTATCTTCTCATTAACATATAAGCCTTCGTTCTCGATTTCAAGTTTCAAACTAAATGTTCCTAATGCAGTGGTGTAGCATCGTTGCGTCTGGATTATACCTGTGTTCCAGTTCAGAGATTTGTTTTAAAATGCCTAATTTAACATCTTTAACAAAACAGGCTATGAAGTCTATAAAGTGCTCAAATTTTGATGAGGATTTTGGTACGTTCCAATATTTGTATATGACACAGATGACCCGTAATGACAATCTGTCATTAATGGAAACCCTGGACACGATTTTTTGGACTATAAAGCATTACAAGCACAACTCTAACTCACATGGTCCCTGTTTATGTGTAGCCTGGCTTCTTTAATGTAGCATTGGAAACAACATTTGTTTGAAGTAGCTCAACCTCAAGCCTGAACATTTTAGTTTTTGACAGTACAGTAAGTGTGGCAGCTTATTAATGAGGACAGACAGGAAGTTTAACATTTGGCAACATGACGAATAGATAGAAAAACGGATAGAGTTGTACGATGGAGCACGCATTGGGCATAATATGTGCTGTCTGTATCGAGCTGCTGACAATGGATAGAGAACTTAAATCAAAGCACAACTTAAACTTTACAAAATAGTCGCATCCTCCATGTTATGCTGGTTGATCAAAGATATATATTCAGCTCCATTTGGCACAGATACTGTTTGTTCACTCCACTGGTAACATTTTTTTCTGACTTTACATCACAAAGTTGCTACTGTACATAATATCCACATCGGTGCTGGCTCATGTCTGAAATGTATCACATTTTGATACAGACTTTTCTATTTCTCTTTTACAACATATTTTTGGATTTAGACTCTATATGTGCCAGTAATCTCACAACAATGAAGCACAATTCAGTTGTTACCCGTCCATTTACAAGCTGATCCCACAACATGCTCCGTCACACACACAGAAGTGCTGATAGTCTAGTGTGTGGCCCAGTGGAAAGCATGCAGTATAATATTTCCAAGGAACTTTCCATAACCAGTTCACATTTCCTTTCAACTTTCTCTTGAAGTCACAACTGCAAGTTTGTGATGGTCATCTTGCATCGACACTGTTTAGCATTCAGTTCTTTCGAAGAGAGCAGGGCGAGTAAAAACAAGCCAGTGTAGCAGACTGCAAATCTTGTACAGACATCAAGCAACCACAATATATTTTTGTTTTTGTTTTTGAACAGTTAAGCATCATTCATCATCTTCACAAAAAGCCCCTTTTTTGTGCTTCGATGCCTGTTGGTATCGGTCTTATACATTCCTGGGCAGCCTACATACATTGTTGTTGTTGTTGTTGTTGTTGTTGTTGTTGTTGTTGTTTTAATGGAGTGCTCAGATTTCTCTCTCCACCATGGTACAGTATAGGCACTGTTCTGGACAATGTCAAGGACACAAATTAAAACAAATTAAAAAGACAACTTGGTTATCAATCTTAATTATTATCTAAGAAAGGTTACATTTGTCTATGAGAATTACATTATTTTCAATAACAGAATTAGCAAAAATGTATATGATTGAAAGTAATTGGATTGTGATTTTTTTTTACCATAGTTATCAAGATAAAAACAACTGCACTTGGTAATAAAGAGAGACGAGAGAGCTTTGACCCTGAATATAAAAATAGTCATTCCGTCTTTTTAGCCGTTGGCAGTGAATGATCTGGACATTTTTTTGTTGTTTTTTGTTTAACGCTGTCGTGTATTCACGATAGAGAGCAGCACATACACAGTCCCACGGACTACTGCTAACTACTTTTAAGAACGGAGATAAAAAACCTAGAGATATTTCCTTCCTTCATCCCACATGCCGTGTCCACTGAGGGACCAGCGTGGCTCCAAGCCTTCATTCCTGCGCAGCATTTAAATCCTGCTGTCGCTTCAAGTGTTTCTTTCTTTCTGTCCATCTAGTGAAGGAGAAGCACCGGTCTCCGACCCTCACAGGAATATCTTCTTAAATATATTCATATATATTTCTTGCATTGATTTGCATTGATTCAGTGTCACAATACCTGCAGTCTCTGCCTTTGTTAAGAGGCTGTGCGCCGAAGTGCAGGTCCACTGAGAAATGATAACAATTAAAAAAGACTAAAAAATAGAAATAAAAAATGAACCAAGTTCTCCTCCCCCCTGCAGGTTAGTGGTCAATGTTTGCTGGGAGGGGGGAGGGTGGGGAAAGCGTAGCAACTCTCCCTGATTGTATGTGGAATCAGACGCAGCTCTCCTTGGTCGTGTTGTCCTTTAGGAAAGTGTTCAGCTGTGAAATGTCCACTACCACAGCGTCCCGTTTGTGTAGAAGGCCGTCTTTCAAATGGTCCTCATCACTTTGGTCCTTGGCAAAATTTACAAACACCTGCAGGAAGGAGAGAAGAGGGAGGAGACATTAGACTCAGCCTAAACTAAAGTCCCCATCCAGTTGTAGACAGAGCATTGGGTGAAGTCTTACTTGGTCTAAAGTTGTCTGTGAGACGGAGTAGTCCTCTATGCTCAGGGTGTCCTTGTTCTGAGAGAGCAGGGAGAAGATGCGGGCGAGCGAGGTGAGGGAGGTGGGCAGCTGGTACTGCAGCATGTTTCTGTGTTTCTCCTTCAGATTGCTGCCTGGGAGCTCCCGCTCGATGAACTCCATCACCGGCCGGAGGTCCGGGTCTGGGCCCGCCACCCGCAGGATGATGGTGTAGCCATCCCCAAACCTGATGAGAACACAACAAAACACATTTAATTCAACTGAACTGTTTAGTGCTAATCTTACAAATCTGGTATTATATTCTTAGATATGTGTTAGTCTGGCATCATGTGTTCCTACCTGTTTTTGAGATGCTGCACACTGCCCAGACAGCGGAACCTGCCGTTGACCATGATGGCCATTCTGGTGCAAAGCGCTTCACACTCCTCCATGCTGCAAAGAAACACACCAGGATGAGTTTTGTCATGTTGAGGTAAACTCACAACAACAGTATAAAGTTCACATATTTGAGAATATGTCAAATTCAGATGCTATAATCTAACCTATGAGAGGTCAGGACTACAGATCGTCCCTCCTTGACGATGTTCAGGATGGCGTTCCACAGAGCGCGCCGTGCTTTAGGATCCATGCCTGTCGTTGGTTCATCCTGTGAAAAGAAAGAAACAGATGATCAGATGCTGCTGCTGTTGAACACACACTGGCTTCAGTAACTTTGGATCACACTACTTCACTGCAAATTCATTCAGAAGTATTTTGTTTAAGAATGAACATTTACTCACCAAAAAGACTACAGGCGGTCCTCCTATGAGAGCGATGGCAGTAGACAGTTTCCTCATGTTGCCTCCACTGTAGCTGCCTGCCGACTTGTCCACATATTTGACCAAACCCAGTTTACGGATGCCCCACTCTGCCACCTAGTGGACATAATGAAGATGTCATGAGTGTCCACCATTTTCTTTTTCTTTTGTACATACACAATGATGTATTATACCATTTGATTTGAAATAGATTTGAAAGTGTGATATAATTGATCAACTAATACAATATTTCATAATAAATGGAGCGGGTCCATGTGTGTTAATGACATTAGTTAGTAACTGACCTCGCAGACTTCCTTCTCGGGCACTCCCCTCAGGATGGCGTAAAACTCGAGGTGCTCTCTGCCGGTCAGCAGGTCGTTGATGGCATCAAACTGAGGACAGTAGCCCATGTTCTGATGCACCTCGTCTATCTCTGAAGTCACACTGGAGGGAGATGAGCACATAAAGAAGAGCGTTATTACGTTGCATACAAAGCATAACAAAATGTTGCCTTGTTTGGACGTTTTCCGGAAAATAAAAGAAAGCCATAATATTCCAATTGCAAATCAAAATTAGACAAGAAAAATATGACTGTACTTTTATCCAATCAGGCTTATATACATTATAATGCAAAGGATTGGATGGGCATATTTTGAGGTTAGATGTGTCTCACCTCTTGCCAGCCAGGTAGGCCTCTCCCCCGGTGACTGTGGAGTCTCCTGTCAGCATTTTAAAGATGCTGGTTTTCCCTGCCCCATTCACTCCTAGCAATCCAAAACACTGCAGGAAAAAAGGGAAAACTAATGTTTATTATCACAGGAATATAGAGATTTGGGAACCATATTTACCACATAAACATTTGAACAAAACGTAAGGTTTTCCTGGTGGCCCTGTGTTAACATCAAGTGTGTATCAGGTGCATGCTGTCTGCCTGTGTCATACCTCTCCGGGGGGGATGCCAACACACAGCCGATCCACTGCCGGCTTCTGTTTCCTCTTGTAGATCTTGGTGAGCTCTTTGATCTCCAGGATGTCTGAATGTCCTCCTCCGTTCAGGATCCTCTGCCGCTCTCTGGCCACGTCCTCGTCTTCCTCTCCAATAGGCTTCAGATGACTGGTGGAAGACCTGCAGCACAGGCGGCAGGAAGACAAGAGGTCACAATCAGGACAGAGATATTTTAAATCCAAGTTGTTATAGAGAAACAAAAAGTGTTGTATGGACAATTTGTGAGGGTCACACGTGTTAAAGTCTTCACCCACCTGGCCTTGAAGAAGAAGTGGTACTGAATGAGGACGGTGATGGTGAAGAAGATCACTCCCTGTATAGCCATTGCAAACAAGTTCTTGCCCACCATGTCCCAGGCCAGAGGGGAGCGGAACCGGTTTTCACCTACAGAGACACAACCACAATCCATTAAAACATGTTTAAACAATGTGTATACTTATTTCCCTTGTCAGGATTAAAAAAAGGATTTAATAAAAAAAAAGTTGGCAGTAATTACCAAATCTCTCCAAAGCGTCGGCCATTGCCTGATTCTTCACCATGTCGATCAGTCCTCTGCCCAGACAGAAGTGAGGGAAGATGAGGAACACGTTCTTCAGGATGTCGTTGATGCCACCGATTTCCTTCGATAGGAAGTGAATATTAGAAGTTAGCATTGATTTTGATAGTCATTCAAAAGCCTCTTTTTTTCTACACAATCGTTCACTTCTTTAACTCTCTGAATCAAAATGGCTTACATTGCTTCCAAACAGCTCCAGTACAAATGTTGAGACGCTGCCATTGATTCCTATCAGTATGTTCACGCTGGTCAGAACCACGTAGGCCGTGCTGGGGATCTTAAAGAAGAACGAGGCCGGGTACATCAGAGGGGTGATCGACCATCTGGAAAAGAGATACACAGATCAGGTTAGAGGGGAGAAAAGGATACACACATTGAGAAAATAAGGAAAGGAGAAGCTAAAAGATGTATTTATTTTTAGAGTCAATGTACCCGTAGAGCAGCAGCAGCAGCGCCAGCACGGGCAGATTGGTGGAGGAGACGTAGGAGTCTTGTTGGAAACACATGAAGATAATGATGACCAGTGTGGCTGGGACGACGTAGTTACACTGCAAAAGAGAGAGAAACATATGCTTTAGTAAGTTCTATCACTCTTTCCTCATTGTATTTCATCTAGATTGAGCTAATGAATCCAAGGGGTTTGAGATGTCTTACCATATCCCAGACAAAGTTGGCCAGCCAGTAAAGTAGAGGCTGCACTCCGCTGATGAACTGCATGTGCTTGGCTTTGTTTACTCTCTCTTGGATGAGAAAGACCACAAAACTGGCAGGGACAAAGGACATGGCGAAGATCACGCAGATGGAAACAAGCACGTCCACTGATGTCGTCATCCTGAGGGAGGGAGGACACAGAGACAGAAGACGTGGGAATTACAAGTGATGTCTTAGAAAGGGTCAAAGAGATGTTGATTCCCAAATGTACTCTAGTATAAACAGTTAAACAGTCATACTCACAATGCAACCTGGGACAGCTGCTCCTTGGTGAGGTTGAGCGGGTGATTGGAGGCAGTGATGCCAAACTTAGTGGGGTCTTTGCCGGATGGCAGATTGGCCCGCAGGATGCCATTGTTCATCACATTGAGGAAAGAACCGATGCTGTGCCAACCCTTGTTGTTGAACCAGATCTGGACATAGAGAGGGATGTTAGTGTCTGTTAGCTCAGAGTCAATAGAGAGCAGTCTGTGAGTACATTTGAAACTTGGTGATCAGATGAGTGCCACAAATCTGCATTGGAGTAAAAATGACGGTATGTCTTGGTGACCTCAAATCTGTTTCCTTATATAGCCATCGGTTTTTTCTGTCCAAAATACTTGATCAATGAAGAAATTTACATTATGAATAATTCATACATGGGGAAAAAAGAACAAGAAATGTATTGAATGTGTGGAGGTGAGGCTTTAGGTCTTTTATTCTGCCACAAAGCAGGAACCAATTATAGAGTAATCAATTCACACAAAATGAATAGAGTGAAAGAAGCCCATTGTGTCTACTTTGGATAATGTGGTGAGGGAGGCTTGAAGGTAACCGGCAGGGCCACGTGTTGTTGTATAACCACTGTGTGTGTGTGTGTGTGTGTGTGTGTGTGTGTGTGTTTGCTAACCTTGACGTTGTTCTTGGTGTCCAACCCTTGCATAAAATTGGAGAGACTGTGAAAGAAACGATCCGCTGCAGTTCCCTGGAGGGTGGGAGAGGGAGGAAGTCTTCTTTAGCACATGGGTAAATAGACAATGTTTAAACCTACTAAATATATAATAGACTATACCATCTAGCTACACTACAGCCATTATTATAAAAACATACAAATTAAATGAGTCAATCTCTTCAGCAGTTAGCCTTAACTTGACTAACTAAAACAAGCTCAGTACAGTTGCCCTCACTAGTGTCTACTTTGGCATGAGCTTAGTGCAGTTTATAAATAATCACAGAATCAAATCTCTTACTCTCTCCAGGCGGAAACGTCTCTTCAGCTGAGCGATTGCTTCATCAACCTGATCTGCATGAGATGAAAGCTGAGAACCCCTGGCGCCCAGCGAGAACCCACCGTATCTGTGAAGAGCACACATAATGTTAATATCAGCGAAGAGCAGAGAGGCATTCAGTTTGATATTATCGACAAATTAGCTCAAAATGGGTCATGTCTATGATCATTTACCTGAACTCGTTGACCCAAATCTTGTTCCTTAGGCTGAAAAAGAAACAAAAGAAAAGATTAAGTTCAATGAAACATAATACAACAGGACAAGAACCAATTAAGACATGTAAGATGAATGTTACCTCTTGCCAATGATCTGAGCGTAGGTTTTAACCAGATAGTCTGAGATGTTCCTGCCAGTCAAGTTCTGAAGAGTGTCCGTCTCACTGATCTTCATCTGGATACACAAACAGACAAAATATGTATGAACATTTGTGTAACTGGTCTTAATTAGTAATTTTACATTGGTTTACACTTCAGTTTGGATTTTCTAATGATGTGAGGTCACCAACCTCTGGTGGTGGAAGCCCCCCGGCCCCAGCGGGACACTCTGGGAGCATCCTCTTGCGTCCTTCACAACTGCACTCACACATGGGGGAGGGATTCTCCATAGACCAGTTGCCATTGTCGAACATTTCCTTCACACTTTGAGAGACCAGAGGGGCCGACCACTCGTCCCCAACTTCAGTGCAGTGACTGTCCCTGGAGCAAAGAGAGACAATTCTTAATAAAGGCTACCATAGTTGTGTTTGTTCTGTAGATGTATGGTTTGTTATTTTCTTTAATGAGTGATTAGATTCTTCTAAAAACTCACGGTGAGGGTTGTCCATCCATGCAACGTGTCCCAAATCCTGGCTGTTCTGTGAGAGCGCTGTGTAGTTTGTTGATGTGAGGATCGTCAGGTATGTCATTACTGCAAAAACACACAACACATTGCCTTTAACATCACAAAGCATTTATTAACTACCTTGAAATGGAAATACATTGAACAATTATGTTGAACAAGATTGCAGTCAATAATAGATTGACATTTAAAATAGCTTTATCATCAATTAATCACACCACCACTCTTAAAACTTGTTTCTAAAGTACTTTCTAGAGTACTAAAAGAAATACTGAACGCAGTGCAGTTTTCAGCACTTATTCGTTGCCTAGCTTGTGGATTTAAAATACATAAGTTATCTAACATGCAACCCGTTGTGAACCGAGGTAACCTCTTACATATTTAACGAGTGGTGCACTTTGTAGATGGAAATACCACAGACATTTTTTATAGAAAATGTGCTTTGAAAGAGAATGATTCGTTTGAGGTGAATTTAAGATTAAAAAGTGATTTTAAAGGATGAATGTAGAACATTTTCTTCAGACATAAAGAATGTTATCCCACCTGATGAAGGTAAACTGTTCTCCATACATGCTGGAATCCAGAGACAGACTTGGGTACTTTCCAAACGGAGGGACAATCAGACTGAATATCAGGGCGATACACACAAACACGGCCGGGAGAACAATCTGAAAAATAACATCATGACAATTTATCACAACTTGCACACATGAATACTAACTAACTTCAGAACTATTGCCTAATTTGAACAGGGTGTATATTTTCTGCAGGAGAACTATTTTTGAAAACAGTAAACTATTTTAAAAAGCATTAGCGTACCTGAGCAAAGAAGCCTTTCCTGGAGCGCCGAGCGTAGAGGAATCGTTTCCAGAGGAGAGCAACAAACTGCTGTCTCTTCAGACTCCAGCCTTTAACCTGGTATGAGCCTTTTCCATCTGACCCACTGAGCCAGTCAGTCTCACGGGATTCTGGACAGAGAAGACACGATACCTATAACCAACTTGTCTTGTGACCTGATTTTGTAATATTTCAAATAAGTCAGTAACCACAGAATATTTAAGATTGCAATTTTACTGGCACAAAGCAATTGATCTGAATGTTTTGCAACACAAATTCAAAAACGTGTACATTTTTTTTTCTGTTAACAATAAGATTGTTGCTACCATTGAATTGAACCCTGGGTAGTGAAGGCCTACCTTCAGAGTCATTGAAATCAAAGTCGTCTTCAGTGAAGGGCTTCAGGCAGCTCTGGTGGTCTCCGAATGCATGATGGCGTCGAGTCCTGGTTGGAACGACTCCATCTGAAATCACATGAGGGTCAACATGTTAATATAACAATATGGAGATATTAGGAGTGTGCATGCTGTAAATCTTGCAAATGCAACACAAATCTTACCTGAAAGCTCAACAGCATCCACTCCACTGTCCTCAGCAACTTTCAAGAAAATCTGCATAGTGGAAATACACACAATTAGAACATCAGAAGAACAGAGAAATTCCATCCAGACAAAGTATACAACTGCTCTAAGTTTAATTCAGCAAACTGAGAGCTCTTCACTGCTTCTCACCTCTTCCAGGGTGGTATCAGATATTCCATAGCTGGATATTCCCAGGTCGGTGAGTCTATCATCCAGCTCGTGGAAAAGCTCGACAAAGGCTCCGTCTTTAGCAGATTCGTAGGGCAAGACGTAGGTGATTTCGTGGCCAAGGTCCTCAACCAGGCGAGCCTCTTTGACATGTTTGAATATCAGGTTGGAGATAAGCGACACATCTGTAGGGAAGAAATCAGCAGAAAAGAGTGAGATGTTTGTGAGGGGAAATTATAAAAATGAACATACTATATGCCTTATTTTGCAGAAATAAACCGCCATTTTGTCAGTTCTTACCAATAGTGGTGGTTTCACTCTCCGGTTCACTGCCCAGACCAGCATCTGAACTGCTTTCTGATACGCTGTCCTCCTTAACCAAAGACAAAAAGGTCTAAGTAAATTGTACTTAAACAATGGAAATGAGACAGCTTCTTGTGTATCTTTAAAAAAAAAAACACAGGTTCTCCCAAGCAATCTTTCTTACCTTCTCGGCCTTCTTGATGTAGGACACGGTGCTGGCAGAGTTCCTGCAGGACTGAAGCGTCAGGTCGTAGTCTCTCTTGACCAGGGTCAGGTAGTAGCCCGTGCCCAGCTGGGTCTTCAGGAAGAGGGAGGAGCCTACGCAGCACAGCTTGCCGTGGGAGATGATGGCGATGCGGTCACCCAGGATGTCAGCTTCGTCCATGTGATGGGTGGAGAGGATGATGGTGCGGCCTGAGGGAGGAACACAGTGGAAAATGTAGTTTGCAAAACAGTAGTCCTTTTAGAAGTTGTTGGAAAGAATGACTGTTACTGAGTAAGCAGCAAATTCAGATGAGTTTACCTTGTCTGTATTTGAGCAGCAGGTCCCAGATACCCCTGCGTGCATAGGGATCGACTCCAGCAGTAGGTTCATCTAGGATCACCACTTTTGAACCCCCAACAAAAGCCAGGGCCACTGAAAGCTTCCTCTGCATCCCTCCTGCAAAAACAACACGATGAAAAAGTCAGAATGACATCTTTAAAAAGGACTATTTAATGTAAAACCTGTCTTATATGACTTGTGAGATGACTAAAAGAAAAATAAATTAGTGATGAAACTGACCAGACAGGGTGTGGGTGCGAGCGTTTCGTTTGTGAGGCAGTCCGACATCGTTCACAATCTGTTCCACCTCTGCTTTCACCTTTTCCTCCGACAGCCCCTTCAGACGGGCGTAGAACCAGATGTGTTCCTCGACTGTCAGCCTGAATAACAAAACAGCAAGAAATCGCACAATTAGCACAAAAAAAGCAACTTTACTATGCAAAGACTTCTTGATGCTGTGTATACGTACATGCTGAAAAGTACGTTGTGCTGCGGACAGACGCCCAGATTCTGCCTGATGGTGCTGAGTTCGCTGCGGATGTCCTTCCCGTGGATATAGGCGGTGCCAGATGTGGGTGGAAACAACCCTGTGAGGATTGACCTATCGGAAAACAGGTAGGAACATAACAGTCAATTACAATCATTTGCTTAGAGTAATATAATCGTACAGCGGATAATCTGTGTATTATCTTACATAATGGTGGTCTTGCCAGCTCCATTGTGTCCGAGGAAGGAGGTAATCTGTCCCTTATAGAACCTCAGGGACAGCCCGTCTACAGCCAGTTTGTTTCCATGGCTGTACACCTTCACCAGATTCTCGATGTAAACACCTGGCTCGATGTGGCTTGGTTCCTCCTCAATACAAACTGGATAAAAATAAAGAAAAGGACAACGGTATATTAGCCATGAGGTGAGCTTATGTTTGAAAATACACATTAAAGAAGGGATCATGTATCTGTTCTTTAAAGTTAAGGCAATATTTCACCAGTGGTTTTATATCTGGAAATTAATCCTTAAACAGAAATGCAATTAATTGTAAGGATAATGATTTGTACCTTCAGCGTTGCCCTTCTTTGACAGAGGGGTGGAGATGTTGGGGTTTTCTTTCTCTCCACACCAGTACGACTTAGTGAAAGGGAAATACCACGGCCTGGGGATCCCATACTGACCTGGAAGAGAATGAAATGGTTAGTTATTTAGTGCAGTCCACCGAAAGAACCCTAATTATTTAACTGTGCATTGTTGATTTAACAAATACCAAAGTTGTAAACCATATCCATGACTCACCAGGGAACACAGCTTCAAAGTACCAGGTCATTATTCCGTAGAGCACAGCGTCAAACAGCATGAGGGAGATGGAGGTGGTCAGGTTGTAGCTGTCGTCCTCCAGGGGGCTGGCCAGCAGGTTGGACCACTGGATGCCCACCCCTTGCTCCTCAAACAGGGCGAAGTACTCACAGCCAAAACCGAACGCCACAGGAGAGAGCAGACTCTGTGAGAACAACAGAGGAGCCAGAGTTTAGATGAGAGGAAAATGCAACACTCAACACAAAATACTTCCTGTAATAAAGTACATATTTATAATATTCTTCCACACACCACAATGAGTTTAGCTCCAAAGCCCACATAGTCCTGCCAGGCGACACACAGCACGTAGGGCAGGTAGAGGGTGAAGTAGATGATGCCACCGCAGGCGGCTGCCAGGTTGGCGCGAGAGAAGAGAGTGCTGATGAGGAAACACTGCATGATGGTAACAATGCCGAAGGATGCCAGGAAAATAAACACTACGCCTGGGTCACTGTAAGGCAGCAGGTTGCCCATCTGAAAGAAATGGAAAAATACAGGTTTATAAAGTTTCCACCTTACAGCAGCTTGTTTTCAACATGTTCAGATATTGGAAATAGGGATCAAGGGAAACAGAGTGAATATCATCTAAATGTTAAACATCAGCCATGATCAGTGCTGACATGTATCTGTGACTGTCTGGGATAAGACTTACCTTCAATAACACCACCAACAAGCCGGCGCTGATCAGAAGTGGGATCAAACTGCTGATGAACCAGCTCAGCCACAGGGTTCCGTTATTCAGTCCCATGATCCTCATGGTCTCTTTGAGGCGGGCCTCCTTCTCGTATACGACGCCCTTGATGATGATGGCCACAGAGTACATCCACGCCAGGGTCATGAAGAGAGGCATGGACCGACTCATCACCCTCAGGAACCTGAAAAAGAGGGACAATTGGTCACACATGTTTTTGATACTTATACAGTGAAAATTGCAATGAGTGTCTTGCTTTGCACTGTGGTCCCTTACATGTCATCAACAAAGCAGGGGTAGGGCATCTGCTGGATGTAGATTCCTGTCTTCTCTTTTGTGCCAGTGATGGCTCGGATGATTCCCTGCTCGATGACGTCCTGCAGGTAAGAAAATCCGCCCCAGATGTAACGAAGGTCCTCGAAGGGGTCTGCCCTGGGACCGGGGTCCCAATAACTGCAAATCAAGATTACAGTCAGTCACTTCCTAAAAACAAGTGGAGAAGAATTTGCAATGGCTCTGCAATAGAATAACATTCAGAAGCCGCTTCTTACTTATCCTTGATCTTGTTGGTCCTCTCCACATTATCGATGTCCATGCGGATCTTGTAGTTGACGTTGGGAGGCAGTTCAGTGCTGTTGCTAAGGGCGATATCAGGAAACACGATTCCAGCCCAGAACTTCTGGTTATGCAGAAGACCCATGGACTTGTTGACCAGTCGCTCCTCATTGGCTACTGGCTCCAACTTGTCCAGGTTCACACACTGAAAGGAACAGAGAGGGCACATTTTACTCTGAGAAGCATTTCCAGAAGCTGTATGAAGACTTTAAATGGAGTTTGGAGGGATGGACAAACAAAACAAAACATGTAACAACATTGTTTTTCAGAGGGACAGAAAAAGAACAATCTCAAGCTTTATCTAATCAAAAGCTGAATGTCAGTGATATAGGTCGTATATACTATCTTATTTTTAATTGAAATTCCTGTTCACACATTCCCATGCTTTCCTCAGAGTTTGTTCAGAGGCTGAAAAAGACTATGAACTCAATGCCCTATTACACACACTCATGTGCCTGAACGCTGAGTAACCACCCCAGAGTTGTTGAGCTGATTTTATGAGACCTCCTGCAGATAAACCTCTCGCATGCTTACATAAGCTGACTTACACTTCCTCGCAACATACTGTGAGAGGCCAACGAGTTCAGAAGGCATGATGGAAATACAGCACAGGCACTCCTAATGCTGAAGGCATGACAGCCTTTTATGATCGTGTTTGGCCTTGGCATAGTTTTGGTTGTGAGGAATTTCAGTTTACACACACGATATGACCTCCTTAAAGGGTGAGACACTCAGTAGGTCAGTTGAGTTGTTTGTAGATATTTTTACAGTCTAAGAAATGTCATTATTATTCAATTCTGTGTTCTAAGTGGTTGCCATTAAGTTATGGTTTAACATTTGCTCATTTGATATTATTATTAATGTATATAATCTAATTTTATAAAATGTATTCAATATACATTTAAGAATGGTCAAATTCCCTGACACAGATAAGCAAGACAACTCAACAGAGCACTGATATTGATTAACATTTGGCAGGAGTTGAAGGTAGTTGTTTATCGCTAAGGCTCGGCTCTGACAGACTCAGCAGAGCAATGATTACAGGAAGTGGAAGTGGAAAGAACATTTGATTTCAAGGCTTTTAATATTCCTGCCTGGAGCTTAATGCCTTTTAAAGTGCATTTCAAAAAATTGAAGATACTGGAAAAGATTCTTTAGTGTGACGACCTATTTGGACAAATAGCATATAAACAATTTTTCCTCTTTAGGTTTTCTTTGCAGCTTGACCTAAATGGAAGAAACTCGATAACAGCTGTTTACAGACAAACCTTGAAACACGTACAATTATGGATTTATTGGCCATGCCCCTAAACCCCCTTAAGGATTAAGCTATGTCGGAATATTATTTCGCACGTCTGCATTTAAAATGTTATGCATACTCTTCTTTGTATTCTTGCCCTTAAAGCCAAAACTCATACGGAACTTTATGCACTGAATATATTTCCTGGAAAAAAAGATATGGTGTGATGCATCCTGAACTAACCTCCATGAAGCGTGAGATGGTCAGAATGGCCTGGTCGGTTTCGTTGAAGACGTTTCTCCAAGTGTAGGTGGATCCTGCAGGTCTTTTGTCTTCTGAGACTTTCGACAGGAAGGCGGACAAATCTGACACACGCCACTCAGTCCCACTGAGCTGGTTGTTAAGGAATGAGGCACTGGCGCTATTCTGGAGCAGCGTCTGCAAAAAGGAAGGTTATTATGGTTTATTATAGAGAGTTTAATGTCAAGAGACAGAGTTATAAGTATATATTACAAATGTTAAAGCAGATACAGATAAACATTTACAGATGGCTCAAAGTCTTCCTGTCTGTTTGTGTGGCTTGTGACCTATTTCACTGTCTTAAATCTCCTGAAACCCTGTTCAAGGCTTTCTCATGTTTATTATGTCTATCTTCACACCCGTTTTCCTTTTCCCACGAGATTTAAAATGATGTCATGACACAAACAGGCTGAGAATCACCAGAGAGAGCCATCTTATCAGATCCAATACAAAACTGTAACAAGCCCTATTTCCAAACTTTTCTATTTCCATGTTTTCAAAATAAATGAAATGGTTAAACTGAGGACTCTTTTTACACGGTAAATGGTCTCCGGAACATTCTTCATTGTAAAGTTATTTCACAGTATCACCTTTGGCCACTAGGTGGAAGTGGTGCTTATATAATTACGTTGGCAAAAAAACAAAACACATTTGATGCCAGCAGGAGGGCCATGCATGAACTATAAACCATTACAAAAATACTTAAATCTCAACAATATGACATTCAATGGCTCCTTCTGTTAGAGTGACTGTTATTTTATTCCCATTAATCTATTCTCTGTGCAAGAAATCTAACCCTTTGTACAATATTTCCCTTGTGATTTGATCAGAGAATCAACAAATGGTTTAAATGAGGGCAAGAATTGTTCTGCTTTATGGCTTCACACTGCTGCCAGGATCGTATTTTAATACCACGCTGTCAATGCCTCGATGCTTTGTTGATCTTGCATGTACCCAAAAGACACCAGCGAGCATGAACAGTTCACTTTTCTTGGCCTTTGTCCTACTCTCCCAGTTCCTCCTTATGAACCCACATAAGGAGTCGTATGATTTTGTGACATTAAGGGTTAGATATTCTGTTAGTTTGGGTGCTGACATGTACAGAAACCTCAGAAGCTGCTAGCCCCTTTCTTTCCTTATTTGGGTCACAAAGACGCACAGTTTACCGTCTTTTAACCCGCTCATGTAAACAGGAAGACGCAGCTTTGATGTGAGTACGTGTGTGATGGCGGGGCATCTCACTTACCCTGACCATATCAATTTCCTCTCCATTTTCCATGAAATTCCACACTTTGGGCCTCATCTCCTCCCACATCCCTCCGAGGTCCCTCAGCAGGCCGAGTTCCTGGAAGGTCTTATTAACCTGGAACACACAGAGATACGTTCAGTCTCGTTCAATGAGGCTTAATTCATTATTCTGATGGGGGCTTTTCAAAGATGAGAGGGGCCTTTTGTACCTCGTGGATGATTCTCTGTGTGGCTGGAGTATCTGGGGTGTACAGGATCTTCCCCATGAGCAGAGGCTTCAGAGCTCTCCAGATCATCCTTGAAATGGGGCTGGACTCCAGGCTACGCATCATGTTGTTACAATAGGGAGCTGGAAAATAAAAACAGAGACAGTTTGAGTCTTGGTTTATCTCGTACGGTAAATTATTGGCAAGGAACCATATAAAAAAGCATGACATTTGCGTTTCAGGTGGTTCAGATTTACTTGAAGTGTTGTCGTAAGATGAGGGGTGGTCACTGTCACTGTCGTTGCCATGGTTTCCGAACAGGGCCTTGTAGTTGTTGTCTTCATACCAGTTGAGAGACTTGATTTTGAGGCCGCCTCCCTCGGGGTGTCCGCAGACGATACGTGACACGGCCTGGTACATCTGGTTTGGAGATCCTGTGGCGTTCACAGTTAGATACAAGATCTCCTTACGCATTTCCTTCCAACTCTTCATACTGGCAAGCTGGATGGAGAGACACAAACAGAAATATAAGCATGACGATAAACATATCAATTCCAAACGTTGACAGGCTAGGCTAGGGGATACAAATACAAAGAGAGACATCTACCAGACACGTAAAGCTCAACTCAGATGAGAAAAAAATTGAATTTAAACATCATACAATCTGACATTCTAATGGATGTGTGACAGAAAATGGCTTTTACTGTGATTTTAAGTACATACGATACGGTTCGATAATACTTTAATGGTCAGATTTAGTCTGAAATTCGACTTGCATCCCAGCAGCTCGATTTGCAAAATCAACATGGACAAATATCAAGACAGAATACATGAATAATGCTAGACTGAAGGGCTCCTTTTCTTTCTCCAAAAAGAACGCTGTGAAATATATATATATATATATATATATATATATATATGCCGTTAAAAACTGTGCAATATATACCTGACTGCCAAATCCTCAGAACTGTGTATGTGTATTTTGTAAAATGTGTAACTTTCTTCATTATAATTTTTTGTATCTTTAATATTTTGTATGCATGCAAGCTCTTTTCTGCATTAACAATGTACATTTCCCCTCTGAGGGACTAATAAAGGTATTCTGATTCTGAAATATAGAGATCCATGTCTTTGAAAAGATCACATGACATCAGCTTCAATCTGAACAAGGGCTCACTTCAATGTTCTTTTATTTGTTGAATCTACTGCATGCCACATGCGACTGATGCGTCATCTGTGTTTAAACCTGCTGTGCTCATGTTTCTCCTTCAGGGTGTCTCACATGTCTCATTTACTGTAGCTAAGGAAAGTGAAATGGATATGTCTACATGTACATTTGAAAAGCTATCCCCTTTCGCAACAGACAGGATATATGAACCAGTTGTTTTTGATGCTGCAGGTTTGAAGTTAGTAATGCTTATCAACTGCACTCTGAGTGGTATTCTAGACATGTGAGTGCTGCACAGTAGTGGGGTGGAGACACTTAGCACTTAGCCGTCTGCCTGACTAAGATACATTTAACTGCTGTGCCCAGTCTTATCTCTCTTTCCCTCCCCCTGTGTGTGTGTGTGTGTGTGTGTGTGTGTGTGTGTGTGTGTGTGTGTGTGTGTGTGTGTGTGTGTGTGTGTGTGTGTGTGTGTGTGTGTGTGTGTGTGTGTGTGTGTCTCTTTACAGGAAAGGTCAGACAGCTTATATCATGTAATTGAGCGTGTTAATTAAATGATATCAGACAGTTTTTTTAATAAAAACAACTAAGATGAAGGTTCACTGAGTTTATTTCGGAGGTTCTCTCCTGTATTCACTAGCGTTAATAGGTTTACATTCTAAATGCGGAAGGCTTAGGGGCAGCACAGTATTGTTGCCTCATTATCACATTATAAAATACTTGCTTCTCAGCTACTTTTAACAGTCCTATTATAGTCGGTCATTTTAGAAATAAAGGTCCACAGAAAGTCCACAGAGAAACTGTTCTTGATCGACTATCGACATCAGCTTAAAGTCAGTGAGACTTCAGGCTGAAATGGTGTTTCAGCCTGAAGTCTCACTGACTTTAAGTGTGGTTCACACAGGGGTTACTGCAGGTCATCAGACAAGTCACCACAAGTTCCCTGTTCATGTCTGCAAACTGGTCAAATCCTGATTCAATTATGTCACTTCCTCGTGATCGGCAAGCACTGAAAGGAGGGGTTTTGTGTTTTCCGTGTGAGCAAAACAAAGAAAGGGCAGACGAAGAGGGGAGCTTTTGTTTCCTAAGTGTGAACCACAGGAGGCGACTTGGACTTCAAATAAGCTTGAGCTCTGAGAGTGTGAGGGATGGAGGCTTAAGAAATCACACCTTTTCCTCAGGTGATTATGTGAGGAGGTCCGAGATAAGTGAAAGAAACTCAGAGACAACAAAGAAATTAAGAAGGAAAGATAGAAAGAGAGAAGGAAAATAAGAAAGAAAGAAAGAAAATGGATTGTTGCAGTAGAGCACGAGGTGGAAATGAGTGCAGAAGGCGAGAGAACAAAGAGAGGTTACTATCGGTCGTTTTCCTAACAAGCAAACCTCCGCAGGCTCCCGAGGCAGGGTGCTATTATACTGACGATTCTTACTGAGGACACACTCATATGCAAACACACACACAAACACATTAACAGACGGCACGTCACAAATAGCTGTTTGAATACAAATATTATTATTCACCTTCCTATTATACACACATGCATTTCCAAACATTTGGACTACCTATGTTGCAAATGTATTATCTTTTTAATTTACACACGGCATCTATTGCACGTCTGTCCGTCCTGGGAGAGGGATCCCTCCTCTGTTGCTCTCCCTGAGGTTTCTCCCATTTTTCCCTTTAAACTGTGGGTTTTCTCCGGAAGGTTTTCCTTGTACGATGTGAGGGTCTAAGGACAGAGGGTGTCGTATTGTCATACTGATATTCTGTACAAACTGTGAAGTCCACTGAGACAAATGTAACATTTGTGATATCGGGCTATTTAAATAAACATTGATTGATTGATTGATTGAAATAACAATGTTTTCCTTGTCAACTGTGACCAGTCTACTGCAGGTAATTCTTAATCTGCCCGTAGACGAGATATTCAACACTCTTTTCCGACAAAGCTGCCGTCTGGCAGGCGTTACCGCAGCATCCGGACAGTTTCATCCCACAGGCCATAAGACTAAACACCAGAACTGTTGTAACAACATCCATAATATTCNTCTGCTACTTAGTAATTATTTATCTAATATATCATTCCAATAGCTTGCATATAGACTCTTATTTAAATACTTCAATTTTTTAAAACTATTTTTGTATTTACTTTTTTATATTTACTTGCACTATATCTTTTTGTTTTTCTGTATTATTGTGTTGCACTGTTGGAGAAGCCTGTGACCTAAGATTTTCATCGACATAACTACTCTGTAGCTATGTTCATATGACAAATTAAGAACCTTGAGACAGAGAGAACTGTTGGGTCTCAGGTCGCTGACACACAAACACACAACACACACACAACAAAAAAAACCTGCTGAGATCGTTCTGCATGTGGTTGTGTTGCAGCTGAGCCCGCAGCCATAACAAACCATCAACTTCCTGCTCAGTCACATGCAAATAACTGGGTCCAATAAGGTGTGTGTTTAAGTGTTGTGTCTTCATCTTTTCGTAGCCACAGGCTACAGTAGCTGCAACACACACATTATCCTCTGAAGTATGTTTTCGTTTAACGACAGTGTGCAAGGTTTTGTGTGACGTCATTTAAAGATGATGCCAATATGAACTTGTGTGACAATAGGAAAAACACACAAACAAGGACTCACACACCCACACAGACAGGCAGCAGAACAGGATCGTCTCAGAGTTACCTCGTCGCAGCTGAGTCTGTGTGAGGTTACTAAAGTTCAGATTTTCACCCCAGCACACAGCTATTTAAATCAGAGCAGCTCAGAGGCCAATGCTTAATGATTTGTTTCCAAGCAAAGATTTAACACCTTAACCAGGGTGACCTGAATATTATAAGACTCATGGTATCAGATGGTAGAGTAGGATTAGTTTGTCTGTAGGTTACTGGAGTCCAATCCTGCTAATCTAATTAATAATTCAGAAAATTACCTCGCACCGATAAAAAAATCGTAATATTTAATTGGAAATGTTCGGGGTCTGATGAAGTTAAACTGACATATTTGTATTTAAACCATATGAACTTTATATATGCAAGAAGTTCAGTTGAAGATAGATTGAAGTAGATTTTTCTGTGATGACGGTGGTAATGTCTTGAAACAGAGAGGTTACTGGAGTTTATCCTCACACTCTCTACCTCTTTGCTAAGCAACCGCTTAAGCTACTTAGAGAAAACAACACAAAGAAGATAAATACCACTAATGTTTCTGAGAAGCATGTCGGTTTGAATTAGAATAAATGGTTCAAAAGAATATGCATTTGTGAGGCTTATGAGGGGAGACATTTAATAAATGTTTTCCCTTCATTACCACAAATCATAATAAAGGGTTTTGTATACATCTGAGTAAAGTCTGAGTATGAGTGAGTGCAGATTATTAGGAATTAAAATCACCACACTGCCAGCTCTCTGAGCTAAAAAAATACTTCTGAGAAAAGGTCAAGGAGAATGACGCAACACATTACCCTTTAAAAAATCAATCAAGAGCATTGACGACTGTAAATTAAGAAAAAGAATGAAATCTGCCACTTGAGCTAACCTATCCTTGACATTCACACTGTAAAAACATGATTACAATTACCAAAACAGGTCTGTCATAGTGCATGCAAAGTTGCATTTTTAACACATTCTCTCCAATATCAGAATTTTCTTTTAAGTCTCTTAACACGATTCACTATGTGAAAATGAGCTTTATTTTTATTTTTTTATCTCTAACTAGGGTTGAGACCATAGACTGGTTGAGACACGGCTTCACGATGATCACTGCTAAGGACGGTTACAAGAGTGTTTTTCTCCATTCAGCTTACCTCATCCGTCAGCCTGCTAAGAAAACCACCATAATCTGTTGTTCACATATCACACCTAAAGTACCAACAGTCTTAAAATAAGCAGTGTATTTTGGCTAACACTCTTAAATGTGTGTCCTTCTTAAAATGTTATGTACGTATATAAAAACAAACCATTTTAAGGGATAAAAAGATTGATGAATATTGCATGTTAGTGGTTGAGAACAGAAGAAAAGACTGCAGGCTCATTGATGTAATTACAGCCGCATAGACAGGAAGCGTGCGCACACACACACACACACACACACACACACACACACACACACACACACACACACACACACACACACACACACACACACACACACACACACACACACACCTGGATCTTTACGTTTTGCGTACTCAGCAGCCTGAGAGCAGGG